GGGCCGGGTCTCTGTGCACGGGGGAGCGTGGGGCACAGCGCCGGGCACAGCCCTGCTGCATCGGCACGGCCTGGGGCAGAGCCCTGTGCGTGGCCCCGGGGCACGGCACGGCCCCGGTGCACGGCCTCGGAGCGTGGCACAGCACCGTGCACAGCCCCGGAGTGTGGCGCAGCACCGTGCACAGCCCTGGAGCATGGTGCAGCGTGGGGCACAGCACCGCGCACGGCCCCGGAGCATGGCACAGCACCGTGCACAGCTGCAGAGCGTGGCACAGCGTGGGGCGCAGCACCGTCCACAGCCCCAGAGTGTGGCACAGCACCGTGCACAGCTCTGGAGCATGGCGCAGCACCGTGCACAGCCCTGGGGCATGGCGCAGCACCATGCACAGCTCTGGAGCATGGCACAGCACCGTGCACAGCCCTGGAGCGTGGCACAGCACCATGCACAGCCCCGGAGTGTGGCACAGCACCGTGCTCAGCTCTGGAGCATGGCACAGCGTGGGGCACCGCCCTGGAGCGTGGCACAGCACCGTGCACAGCTGCAGAGCGTGGCACAGCACCATGCACAGCCCCGGAGTGTGGCACAGCACCGTGCTCAGCTCTGGAGCATGGCACAGCGTGGGGCACCGCCCTGGAGCGTGGCACAGCACCGTGCACAGCTGCAGAGCGTGGCACAGTGTGGGGCACAGCACCATGCGCAGCCCCTGGGGAAAAGCCCTTCCTCCACGGGCCCCCCAGTTGCACTGATCCAGGCTCCGCCGGGCAGGGGTGCTGCTCGCTCCCGCTCCGGCCGTACCCAGCGCGGGGTTCCACCGCCCACGGTTCCGCCGTGCGTGGCCACTCGGGCCTGGCAGCCCCCGCCTGCCCCGCGCTGGCCCCCAGCTCCCGATAAGGGATCCCTTTCACCCAGAAGGGCCCCCGCCCGCCGTGCACACTCAGCACTTTTCCAGCCCCGGCTATTTAAAGCCGGCCAAGACCCGGGTGCCCCTTTCCCTCCCCCGGCGCCGCTGAGCCCAGCCGGTGGACTTTCCTCCCCGCAGCGGCGGCACAGCCATGAGCTCCCAGCCGGCGGCGAGGCCGATCTTTGCGGAGGGGGGGGAATGGCGGGCGG